TCAAGGCTGATTGTTCTTTGGGGCTCATGGTTGGGCTGTTTTAAGATTATGACTCCCTGGTACCCTCAAATTGACTATACTTCCTTATAAAGAGTCCAAAGGGTAAGTACTATAGGGTTTAGATAACTTAAGGAGGCTTTTACCAGCCTGCCAAAAAGTAAGTCCCTCACTCTTGAAAGTCAGACATACAGAAGTGGACACACTAGTAAATTTGCTTCTGAATGCCAGCGAATCCACACAAGTCTGACCCAGGTAAGTACATGTCTACAGATGTCGTCAATCCACTTAAGCCCATGAAAGTCTCCCAATACTGGAACTCCAGGCTTCCTCAGAAGACGAGCAGTTTGCTCTGATCAGGGAGGACTCTGACCAACAAAGCGCTCGCCTACCACAGCAAGCAATGAATTCAGCTGTGTGTTTTTTTTTAAATCGAATATTGAGTGGTGGGCTCATCAACCTCTAGAGTCTTATATTTGATATTTACTCCAACTTCATAATTGCTCACTTGACTTAGGTCCTAATACTGTCATCAGCTTCAGTTCAGTTAAGCCAGGTATTATGTTTACATAAAGTCTGAATTACATAATCCACCACTCAGTATCTTAAAAGACAGAGCTGAATTTATTGCTGACTATATAGTAAGGGGGGCATAACTGGTCAGGCATAATCTCCCGGAGCAGAGGTCAGTGAACTTCTTTGTAAATGTCCAAGGAAGCTGCACACACAGTCTCTGAGATACCTTATGTAAGAACAGAGAGAAGGTCTTACTAAAGGTGTGCTGGTAGTTACTGAGCAAAGAAGGGTGTATGTTTGTTTACAAGACAGTGGGAGAGGTTTTACCATTTTCCAGGTGACTGTATTTCCAGGGATTATCTGCAAGATGTTAGACCAGGACATTTCTCTGAAATAAAGCAACATATCATTTAGCTGCCATATCAGCCAGTACCTCACTAAATGCTTTTTGATAAGAATTACCTAGAAAAATAGCCAAGTATCATGCAACACTGTCTCCTATCATATAACACATTAATATAAATTTATTGGGTGGAAAAATGGGGAAAGGGACAAAAAAGATGGGGTGGTTCTGTACTGAAATCAAACAGTTCATAAAAGGATAAACTCAGGTCCAAAACCTTCAGCCCACATCAAAGACTTCATGTTCTGAGGACTGTGGACACAGGCCAGTGCTGGTTGCTGGGCTTGGGGAATCCTGGTGATGTCGCTGTTGAAAGTGAAAAAGCTCCCCTGTCAAGGACATCACTTTCTCTCTAGTTCAGAGTGACACTTCTTGGGCACAAGTCTAAGATTCTGTTTATTCTCCCATCGATGTAGAGCAGACTGACTGGACATGCCATCGTGCCTTTTATCTTGGTCCTGCTGGAAAGAAAACACACCCCAAACTGTTCAAAACTAACTGTGGAGCTGAGGACTTATATTGCCTTTATGAATCATTTTTTTTTTTATCAAGGTAGGTGGTTCTAATCTAGACAGCTTGGGAGAGTTAGAACTTTTAAGAAAGAAATTCAGTAAATTGGTTTTCTAAGCAGAAGTTTTAAAGAAATCTACAGATTAGGAGAGAGTAGCTGGAAGAAGATGGGACTTGTGTAATTAGAAGTCTGAGAAGGAAGGAATCCAGAATTGCTTAAGATGGTCAAATACTCTACCTCTTCCCGCCACCTGTCCTCCCGGGGAAGCCTCTGCAGCCGGTTTTTTGTCAGCTCCAGCTGTAGGCCATCGAACCTGCACTTGAACCAGCGGTGAGCTTCTTCCAGGTTAGCTGTTATCTAACGTGTATGCGTTGTCATTAAATTACAACAAAGAAACAGTTATAAGTTTTCTGTGTATTAGTTCAAGAGACTTTTTACTCCGATGTTAAGACTCAGATTCTGACTGCATGGTCTTTGCAAACTATTTGCATAATACACATCCTACAGATGAGAGAATAATTTCTGAATGGGGAGTTTATGAATGCATGCAAGCCTGTTGCTTTTCATGCATTTGTTAATATTTCCTGGATGTGAACTGAGGTGAGAGAGGAATGAAAGTACAAGATGGCACTGAAAATGAACGAGGTAGACTTAACCATATGTTGATTTATGTTCTCTAAGACTACTCCTCCAAAGTTCCTAAACTGTATAAAGGCTAGATTTTTCTCTTGTGCTGTGACAGTAAGAGAATGAATTAGTAAAAAAAAAAAAAAACTGGACCAGTTTAGTGTAAGTTGTATTTTTATTTCCTTTATCAAAATATCTTATATTTTAGCTCAAACACAAACTTTCAAGTCCCCTTTGTTAAACTTGAAAACAAGCTGCAAGTCCCTCTAACAGTCTGCCTTTGAAGATGGTCTGGAATTAGTATTCACTTACTTGACAAATATTTATGGAGTGCCTACATATGCCTGGCACTTCTCTAAGTATTAGGGATACTTTGCTATTTTGGAGGTAGAGCCAACAGGTTTTTATTTTATAGAAAGGTTGCTTCAAAACAGCTCTAGAACGTATCTTCTAGAATAAAAAGTAAAATGACTATTTCCTCTGCTTATGTTTCTTGGACAGCATTTTTGTGTTTTGACACTGAGGTCTGAGCGTGTTGGTATCTCTCTCTTGTCTGGGAGAAGGCAAGAGTGAGAGCAGAGGCTTCACCTGCCTTGTTCGCCTTGTATCTCCATTACCCAGTACGGCGCCTGCCGTATAACTGGTCCTTAATAAATCTGTGCTACTATGTCCTTGTCCCGTAGAAACCAGGTCATGGCGTGGGTACCAAATAGTGAGATAAGAAAATAGCACTACCCTTGCCATTTACCTTTTAGAAAGCTACAAAGCTAAAATAATTTGTTTGTGCATCCTGATGACAGAGACACTCCCACCCTCCTAAACCAAGCCCCACTTTCCTCCAGCTCCCTGTCAAAAGTGGAGGGAAAGGTGCCTGAAGTGGCATTGTACGTCATGTCTCATCTTGTATGGTGAACGAGAAGGGAACTAACGTTCATTGAAATTCTGAGCCATCTTTCAGAAAACAGGAGGTAACAGCTTCCTGATTTATGAATGTGGGAACTGGTAAGTTAAAGTAAATGTTCCTTAAGGTCACAGTTGGCAAACTCATGTTTGTCAGAGTCCAAATTCCTTTAAATATACCATTCTGACAGTCATATTGTTAATATAATTTAATGGCTATAAAAGGGACAAACCGGCAGCAATGTCACTGTGATGCCTTTAGCCTAAGGATCTGTTTTCTTATCTGGCTAATAAGGGCTGGTTGTGATAGACCGATAATTTCAAAGATCTTTTCTAACTCTAAAAATTTATCATTTTAAATACCTTCAAAAAGGCCAATTTAAGATATTAGAACAGAGAAATCAAATTCATTGATAGGGCCTACTTTATACTTCTGGTTATTAATGGAACAGAGTCCCACTTTTCTTAGGTCATATCAAACAATAATGCATTAAAACGCACGCACCTGCTGGTCTTCCCTTCTTGTATTTAGTGGTAGGGACCTGGACACCAGGGTTAATCAGTACTTCAGCTTCCGTGATCTCTCATCAAGACACAAAATCTTGATGTAAAACTATCTGTTCTTTATAACGGAGGCCATGCTGAGTAGGTTATTGGTTCTTGCCCTTTGTACTCCTGACAACCGTGTTAATGAAGATTGTACCCTGACTTTTGTGGTTCAGGGTTGTTGTGTCTGAGGAAGCTTGTCTAAGTCCTTATGTCCGTGAGTCTGACTTACCTGTTCTGATTCCACACTGGCTTCTTTCAGTTTATTCTCTGTTGCCTCTTTACATTTCTTCAGGTGTCTGACAGTTTCTTCCAATTCCTGAAAATGATTTTTTACAAACTCTGTACATTACATATGGAACAAAGAGTCTCAACATTGTAATAAATGAGCAACCGAATTATGAAAATCTGATGGGGTAGTTTCTAACTCCAGGTGCTACCAAACTACAAGATAAAAACTTACTTTGAGTTTAACCTACAGTATACATATGTGTATACAGTTACAGATTTTGATTTTGACTTTGACTTTGACTTATGGATTCTCCTGACTCAAGGTGATTCACATCTCTTTCCAGATTAAGGGGGTACCTTTTGTAGCAGACAATCTCTGTTGAAAGGCAAGAACTCGATTTCTTGAAGTCCCTTTTCAGTGATAAAATGTGCTTTTCATTAGGTTGGGAATAGCTAAAAATCTTGTAATGACAACAGATGTTTATGAGCTACAGGGAAGAACCAAGGGGTATAAAAGACTGAAAGACTGTGAAATTCAGAAGTCTCACCTAGTATGCTGAGTCTCACTTCGTTAGTATTCTGCATATGTGAGATTTAGCTGCTCTTCAATAAGGATGATACTCATTTTTAAATTGAAAGTGAAGATGATGCACCACATTCAAAACTACAGGCTTCTTCCCAGACATGACCCTAAGGGCTCAGCTAAGATGAACAACTTGTAAACTGGTTTTCTTCTACAGAACCTGGAAAACCTGGGTGCCCTCATGCTGGGTTCTGCACATGGCACCTGCTGACAGCCTGAGATGAAGCTGAGGAAGGCCCGTACCTGGCACCGGTTCTCCAGCTCCTGCCGTACTTTCCGCTCTGCCTCGAGGCGCAGCTCTTGCTGTTTATTCCGTGCTGAGGTGTCATACTGGCTCTTGGCCAACAGCTGCATCTCCTTCTGGAGGTTAGTCATTTCAGATACAAATTTCTGGATACTCAGGGACTGATAGGGCACAAGGAGGGAGACAGTGGGTGAACCTGTCCAAGGTTGGAATTTTATGCAAACGGTAAACAGCGTGTGTGGAAATCATCTACCTGTTCACAGTTTTTCTTCTGATATTGATCCTTAATGATCTCCATTTGCCTCAATTCTGTTTCTATTTGCTGAAAGTAAATGTGGAAATAACATAGAAAGATGATCAGTGGAAAAACTGACTTGCTTTTTTGCCTGCAGAATGACGGGAAGGATGACAGAAAGAATCCCACACAAGACCGAGTTATCAGTTCTTGCTGGGTTCTCGACTTCCAGCCCACTGACCCTGAAAGAGCAAAGCCCTGTACAGTCACTGTGGAAGAGACAGATGGGGAGCCAGAATGTGACACTGGCAGCTAATGAGAAAGACAACATTGACGCAGCAGTATCTCTGCTGGAAAAACAGCATTCCCCCCTACCCTGCCCCACCAAGGCTATCTGCCCACTTCCCAGGTGTGGCTGAAATTCCCAGGGAACACACGGTAGTGTTAGTGCTCTGAAACCATATTCCCCGGACACCACTGCCTGCCAGGATCCTCATCAGATACCAGGGGAGTGAGGGGAGGCTTGGGGTTTCTCATACAACCTTCATCCTCTCTATATTCTGAGCATTATTCGCCTTAGCCGACAAGTGGAGCTTAATTTGGGCCTTTTGAGTCTTTATTTTCTCCTTGCTGCTGTTCAGCATCTTTTCCAGCTCTGTGAGTTTCTGCCGCAGCTCTCGGTTGGTCCGGGACACTTCCACTGATCTGAAGTTGGCTTCATCAAGGGCTTTCTTCAGCTGTGGAACACAGAGGGAACATCAGAGCATTTTTACCTTCCACTCAGAGAAGCTTATGTTTAGCTCGGTCCCTGTATTTCATTCTTTTTGGACCTTTCTTTTAAAAAGGAGGGTAAGTGAGGCAATAAATAGATTTGTGGAGAATCATTAAGTGATTTTCACAATTTTCTGTCAACCAAACTGAAACTGTAAAATTAGTTTTGGCTCTCCCAGAAATGGACTCTTGAACCAGTTAATCAGGAATTGCCTGACTGATCAGCATGCATTGGATAATCTGCCTGGCTGACCTGTCATCCCCTAGAGGAAGTAAGCTGGCAATAACTAATCCGTTTTTTTGCCTAGTGTAACTTCTTTGTTCTGCCTATAGAAAGCCTTCCATTTTGTAAGGCTCCTTGAAGCTCCTTTCTATCTGGAATGAACTGCATACTGCCCAATTCAAATTGATTTTTGTTCAAATAAACTTAAAATTTTAATATTCCTCAGTTTATCTTTTAACATTACTTAAATCACCTTACAGGGTTCCACTTCTCCGCATGTGCCCTTAAATCAGTGCCACTTAATTTTTAGGAAGAAGAGGCAGCTGAAAATGGAGAAGACAGGAAAGTGGCATTCTCTATGGCTGGTAAGTGTTTAACATGTCAAAGAAAAAGGTCCAAATGATTTGTACCTCTTTTCTCTACATTAGCTCATTCCTTCAGATCCTAACACCACACTCTACAGGGTCAGCCTTTCATTACTACTCAGCTAACTTCCTCTGAGATATTCCACTGTTACCTCAATCACAGCTTTGTCAAAACTGTGTAAGCCCTAAAAAAACTTACTTTGTACTTATGTTTATGCACTATGATAATTACTTTACATATATTTTCCAATTTAACCCTCAAAACAACCCTGAAACATTGTGATGATCTCCATTTTAGGACTGAGGAAACTGACTCAGAAGTTTAGTCATGTGCGTAGACAGTAAATTAACACACTGCTAAACACAGGGCCAGCTGGTGCCTGCCGATGCCCTGTGGCCCCCAAACTTCCAGCCCTTAGGCATCCACTTGCTCCTCTTCAGAAGACGAAGTCCTGACAGGTGTTTGCCTTAGCAGAATTAACAGCCCTGTTAATTAATACAGTAAGACTGGCCTTACCATAGCTCAGGCCGACTTGTCACAGCCCACATCTCCTCATCGGAGTCATAAATCCCACTGCTGTGCTTTGTCGCTCATGTCTCTGTCTTACTGGAGTCATAAATCCACTATCCTCCTGCATACCAAAGCCCCTTCCCTCAACAGCCAATCAAAAACTCTGCTTTCCTATCCCTTTGTGCTCACAGCCCCTTCCTCAATAAAAGACCCTGTACGTTCACACTCGGGGCTCACATAGGCTCTTCTCATCTGTGTGGCCGCTGTTGCCTCCAGCGGTGTACCTTTGGTAAATTCTGCCTCTGTGTCCCCCAACATTTGGTGGCCTGTAGGGGACTCCAAAACAGGGGGACCCCCAAAGTAAGGGGAGCCCTTTGGGTGGATCTCCCTTTCTCTCACTGCCTTTCTCTCTCTCCCCTCCCCTTCCTAGGGGAGCTGCTCCCCTTGGCTTGATTGGATGCTCCTTTCAGGAGGTCAGATCATCGTCTGTCAGGGCAGGCTTCCCTCTTCCCCTTCCTGCTTTGTTCTCTCTCACACTTTTCTGCCACTCCCTAGCATTTGGGACTTCTAATTCTTGCCGAGGATTGAGGAACTCTGGCTGGGCCACTCTCAGTGGGCTCTGAAATTCGGTCTGACAAAGGAGAGTGATGCCCTGGCCTGCAGTGGTGAACGCACACGTGGAGCATCTCTTCTTCTAAATACCTCTAGCCTTTGACTCCATGCTACCACATATATTGTCCCTGGGTCAGGGGGACTATGCATCTCACCGGGGAAGGCACACATAAGGACTGGTCATCTGGTACTTTGAGACACCCAGGACCCTGTCTCCTGATTAGACCCAGACAGTAAGAGGGAGAGGCCAGTTCAGCCGGTAAAAGCGCTAGAAAGTCCTGCCCCCAAGCAGCACGCTCCTGCTCTCTCTGGTCTCTATGTCAATCCTAACTTGCAGACTTGTTTTGTATCTCCTTTCTCCTGAGCCTGCCTCTGAGACCAGGATGCTTCAGCAACATCAGCTGAGTCTCCTGTCTCCAACTGTGATGGCAGGTACAAGCCACTGGTGGGTGAGTCCCCCCTCTTGCCTTTCTCCTTCTTTCTAAACTGCTCAGCCCTTGTGCGGGCTTAGCCTTGGCACTGCACTAGTAAGAGGCAGAACTGGGACTCCTAGTGCACCGTGAGCCCACCCTGTTGCTAGCTGCTTAAAACATCACTTACTATTCCCTTGGTCTCCTGCACAAGTTCACAATTTTCACTGATCCTTGTTAAAAGGATTTAAACTTTAAATATTCTGAACAAGTCTGACTGCAGGTACCTTTAGCTTCAGTGCACCTTTTTGTTTCCCACAGAATGTTTTTATAATCTTGCTAAGATTTATATAGTGATTTTGCAATTTACAAAATTTTACAAAATTTGCAATTGTAATTACTGGGGTAATTTTACTGGGTCAGACTTGCAATTTACAACTATTACATAAATAGTACCACTATTGCTGCTTTTACACGTGCCTCGCAGGAGAAGGCAGAGGCAGGATGGATGCTAGCTACGTGAACTAAGGAGACAGGTGATTTGGTATCTATCAGACGGCAGTCTCCTCCTTTGCTGGGCAGATAATTGTGTGTTGATTTACAGATAGCAGAGAGATGCATCTGGCTTGCTGGGGAAGGGGAGGATTGGAAGAGCCAAAGAACAACCATAGCCATTCTCAGAAATTCCGTAACTGGTTCTCCTCTCCAAAGGCATTCACCTAGAGAGAGACGTTTTTGCCACTTGCCTCCATACCTCAGTCATTTCCCGTTGTGCTGCTTTCTTTGCAGTTTCTCTCTCAGTTTGAAACTGCTTTCTTAGAGCATCTATGCGTTCAGCATGCAACTCGGCTTCCATTTTGGATTCTTCAT